TTGGAGGAACTTTGGATTGCTTCTACATTAGGTCCATCCATGGGGAGTGAGGAGGCAATCACAGGAAATAGTTTAGAAAGAATGGGCCCTCTTCTTATAATCAAAGATACTCCCCAGGAGCTTCTTTCAGTTTCTCCATGGCCAAATGCTCTTGAAAGCCTCATAGCCCCCAAGCAAACTTGGTGCATACCCTCAGTAACTTTCCAGGAAAAATACAATGAGATTATATTAATTTAGCCTCCATCCTAGGTACCAGGAAGTAAATATGATGTCATTTTAAGAGACAAATCAGAAGGAACATTTACTAAAGGGGGTATACTGTGAGTTAGAGCCATCATATCCTAGGGTGACATGCCTAGAGGATTTGTCCACTTGAGATCTGGTATGTCATCCTTGTTTTAAGAGACTGGAAACTGGAAAAAATTAAAAAGTGATCACCTGGGGCACCTGTGTGGCTCAGTCGGTTAAGTGTCTGCCTTCAGCTCAGGTCATGATCTCAAGGTCCTGGAATGGAGCCCCCAGTCGGGCTCCCTGATCAGTGGGGAGTCTGCTTCTCCCTCTGCCTCTCCCCTGGCTCATGCTCTCTCTCTCTCTTTCTCTCAAATAAATGAAATCTTAAAAAAAAGTGATCACCCAAAGAAAATGAAGGCTTTGATTTTTACCTGGATACTTAGCACATGTTCCCAAGCATGTTTTGAAGAGTTATGGATATAAGCTGGTCGATGAATTTAGTAAATCCTTGGTAGGAACACCTAATTAGAGGGCATCTGTTAAATCGCAGTATATCACCATCAGTCCTGGGCATGGAGGAGCCCAGCATTGCATCCTTGCTACCCAACACATGGCACAGTGTGAGAACGCAGAGCATGGGCACCTTGCAATTATCCATACATGGAGTTCCGCTTACTGAACTGCAGGAAAATTGAGGACAGCCCTCTGGTCTTTACTCCCATAAGCTGAATGGAATCCTTCCTCCAAGGGCCTTGGACAGACCTTAGATAGTGACCAGCCATTATTCATCTACTTGTCTATATCCCCCACTGGGCAGGGAATTCGTAAGGGAGGGACCATACCATTAGTCCTTTCCATGCTTCCAGCTCCCAGCACCCAGCCCAGGGGCTACTAAAGGAGTGAATAAATGTAGGAACAAATACATCTCTGACAGGTTTAAAATCAAAAAGTGTGTGTGCATGCGTGGGCACATATATGTGGGGGCACATCCATCAGAGCCCCAAGCAATTCTCAGGGTTACTATCTGAGAATCACCAGGACTACTTGTTAATAATGTGAATTCCTTGGTCCTACCACAAAGCCACTGGATCAGAAGTTCTGGGTGGGGCTGGGAAATCAGAATTTTTAAGGAAGTTCCCTGGGAGCTTCTCATACGTCTAGAAGGTTAGGAATGTTGCCCTAGAGGAAACCTGCTGAGCTGGGATTCTCAGAATGCTCTGGGCTTTTGATACCTTAAATAGCCAACTCCAGCCTGAGTTTCTGTTCACACATTTGGCAGAAGAGAAGTTTCCACATGGGGAAGCATTCTGAGATTTGCAGACCATAGAGAGGTAAGAGATAATAATAACAGGACCCAAACTGAGAACAGCACACTCAGGGAATCAGAGGCAGGCGGGACCCCCCCAGGCCATCAGTGTGCAGGTGGGGACACAGAATCCACATCCCAGTGCTCACTGAGAAGGGTAGCTGGGAGGAGAGCTCCTAAGAAGGTAAAACAGAGCTGGGCCCCAAGCTAACGCCAGAGTTCCCATTTAGGACGCATGGAAGAAATGGAAGAAATCTCTACTTTAGCATGCCAACCAGGAACCACAGGCCCGGCTCCCAGACCAGAATGTGCACACTGAATCAATTGAAATTGAGTCACGGATATAATTAATTTAATGTGTTTAAACGATTTTCCGTATAGTAAACATGCTGAATGAGGGTGACCCAGAATAAAGTGCCTGCCTGAGAGTGGAAAAATGGACACCACATGTGCCGTATAATGAAAACCTTTCAGCAAATAGAAAATGCTGCAATTTATTTCCGCCTCCTGTTCCTTTCCTTTCCAACTCTTTATTTATGGCTGAACTTGGCCTTCTGTGGTCTCCTTGGACCACAGAGACACTTTATTTTGTCAGAAGACATCCTTTCTTCTCTGATCAGAAGACAATTTTAATGAAACCTGTCTGCGGCCCCGTGACAAGCACATATTAATATGTGACAAAGGGGATCAGGACGAAGGGGAAAAAATAGTGCAGAACTGTGTCCCTATTGTAATCCCTTTCTCCAGTAAAGGGGACCGTGCAAGATGAGAAGGGAAAGGAGGTGGCACCGGGGGTGGTGGGGACAGGACCCAACTGAGCCACCATCCTGGCTCTGCCAAACCGTCCCTCCGTGGGACTTTCCAAGCTCCCTCTCTGGACCTCAGATACTCATCTACAACACGAGGGGGCTGAACTTGAGGATTTTAAAGAGCGCTTTCAATCCTGACATTCGCTGAGTTAGGAATTACAAACCAGAGCGGGCGTAAATGTGTGTCAAGGAATTTCTCATTAAAAAGAAACTCATCTTAAAGCCACGTAGAGTGTTGAGGCGGTCTTATCTAATTGCTCATCAAGTGGGGATTATGTGTTATTTGGCTTAGATGAAAGGGAGCACTTGGAAGTGGTTAAAAATGATCTCCCACTAAGAAACATCAGGCATCTGGGCAAAATGCCGAGTGCTAGGATGAGGAGGGGCGCCGAACGCTTCCTAGATTCTGTAGCTCTCTATCCAGCTGTTCCAGCTGGAGATACTATGGATTCCTTCTATTAAATAAGAAACAAAGTGTGGCAGAAGTGTACCCACATTTTCAGACAGCTCTGCCACAGTGCTCCTGGTGGAACAGGCGAGTCCCACCCTCTCTGAGGCTCAGTCTGTGTTTGTACCAGAAAAGGGAGGACCTCTGGGGTACCTGTGGGGCCATTCTGGGGGCGGGGGGCTGGGAGAGGGTCCTCAGGGGCTGCAGGAAGGGAGGTCGAACAAGCAGGGCCCTGGGCTCCTCCTCCTTTCAACTGAGAGGCTTCTCTCTAATCGGTATTATATACCAGCACCACGTGAGATTTTATAAGAGGATCTGAGGATAAAAAGTTTTTTTTGAAACCAAATTTTTGAAAGCCACCCAAGTTTACCGTCTGAATCCAGGCTGCGCTATAAACACGGGTATTGCCCGTAACTATTCAGAGCCTTGACGTCTGAACCGTGGGAACAGAGGCCAAGAGCTGTTGGGTCCAGAGTGGCTCTAGTCTGGGATTTTGGAGATCGCCTTGTTTTCAGCAAGCCTCCGCAGCTTCCCCCGCCCCCCAGCAGCGGCGCTCAAACTCCAGTGCGCATTAGCACCACCTGGAGGGTCGGTTGCAGGGGGGGCCCCCACCCGAGGCTCTGCTTCACTGCATCGGGGTTGGGCTGGAGAATGTGCATTTCTAACCAGCGCGCAGGGTGCTGCTGGTCGAAGCGCACTTTGAGAATCAGCGGCCTGTAAGCTGAAGGCCAGCCTCCTCAGCTTGTTCCTTCAGAAGTGCGCCCCAACTCACCTTCCCAGCCTCACCCTCCTCCTTTCCAATTATCCCAACAAAGTAATTGTCCCTGCACACACTCACGCATATCTCCCTCGCTCACCACGCTCCATCTGGCCAGACTGCCGGCCCCCTCTCTGCAAGCCTAAGGCAGAGCACTAGTGTTACCTCCCCCAGAAAGCTCCCTGACTTTCTCATCCGTGGTCCCAGAAGCCCCTCTGGGCTCATACGCTTTCTCCCATGGTGCCGAGCCCTTTTAATTTTTATTATCATCTGTGTCCAGCTCTCGCCCCTGCACTTGGACCGCGGGCTCCCATCTTATTCACTCGGCATCCACATCATTGTCTACACCCTCACTACCCGCACCACCCTGGCTACCAGACCAACAACCAGCAAGCCCGAGCGCGCACACAAAGGAGTATGAACGTTTAAGAAATACACCAATCAACTCATCTTGTCTATTCTTCTTACTACCCCAAGACAGACTGATTCTCTAAATGGCTCTTTAAGTTAGAACACAAGACAGGAGTTTAGCCATTTTAACCTATTCTTTAGGCAAATTTCCCTTATTTTCTGAGAGCAGAATCAGTAACAAATACATCATTATGAGACATGACTAACTGCCACTTACGTCCACTACCAGCAGGTAGTATAATGCAGCAATTAAGAGCTACACCCAGGTTCAAATCCCAGTTTTACTTCTGATTGGCTGTAGAACTTAAATGCTCTGCACCCCAGGCTCCTCACCTCTGATGGTAATAATAACAGCATCTACTTCCTATGGATGGCATATGGGTGCAATGAGATCATTATTAACACTAACAACCCTAGCATGGGCCTAGCATCGGGCATACATTATTGCATCTAACCTATCTGAAGTGCTTAGTGAAGTATGTAGCCCATAATAAACATTAAAGAAACGTTAGCAATTATTATCATTGCGAGACGTATATTATTATCCTCATCTCCCGGAGGAGAAACTTGAGGCTCAGAGCAAGTAGCCTGCTCAACAAATATTAGCAGTTCTTACCTTATAATGGTCAATCTTTATACCTACCTCATGAGGTAGGTACTATTTCCATTTGGGGAATGAAAACTCTATGGTTCGGAGACGGTACCTCGAAAGACCCAGGATTTGAACGCGACTTTGGGTCCAGAGCTCTTGCTACCCACCCCATCCCCCACCTGGTGAATTTCAACTGCTCTGTGTACAGTCAACTCACTACGCCCTTTGTAATCCGTGAGCTATAGAGAGGCATCTTCCCAGCCTGTCAGAGAGCATCACTGAACCTGTCCCTCATTTCGGCAGCCGGGCAATCCTACAACCCATAGGAAGTATTTCAATGATCGGAGAAAAGGGACCTCGTCTCAGAGGCATGTGACTCAGCCCCTCTTGCCTTGTACATCTCCAAGGGGCACGAAGGAAAGCACAGTCTGGGGCGTGGGACTCACCGTGACCCCGAAGAAATTGGTCTCATTCATAGCATTGAGGATGATCCTGCCCAGTGTGTGGTCCGTGTAGTTGAAATCCTGGATCCGCTGGTGCCGGCTGCTGGCGTGCAGCGTCTCCATGGCCCTCTGCAGCGTCTTGGCAATAACCCAGATGCCATCGTAGGCGTACCCGTGGAACTTGCTGGGCCCCACGCCTGACCGCTTGTTGTTGTACTCTCTCTCATACTGCTGTGGCGTCTGTAAAACGGGGCGGGTGGGGGGACACCAAGTTATAGCCAGCAGGGACATCAGGCACGCGGTGCCAAGAACGGACGCTCTCCAGTGCTTACTGCGGGCCAGGCCCGGTGCCAGGCTCTTTGAGGCCATTGTCTCATTTAATCCGCACAATGACCTCATACAGTGGGGACTATTATTGTCCCCATTTTACGGATGGGAAAACTGATTCAGGGAAGTTGACTTGCCCAGGATGACACGGCCAGTGAGTTGCAAGGCTGAGACTTGCACCCTGGCTGTCTCGCAAGGCTAGGGTGAAGGGATAATGCACCCGCAGTGGGCCTCCTTGTGGTATTTGCAGGGCCTGGAGCTATAGTACCAGTGGAGGACCGCGTTCCTTATGTTCCTAAATATTTAAGTTACGGACCAGCAAATAAACTGCTCGATAAAATATTTTCTATCTCCCCATCATAATGAATATATCTTCCTAATGATCTGGAAGGGCAAGTTTGAATTCAGCATTCCGGGGCTCCTCCGAGCTTCAGGCGGGACACAGGGGCACAGGGGGAGCCGGCCTTGCCGTGGGGCCCACCCCTGCAGCCCAGCCAAGCTCGGTGCACACCTCCTCCCCTTCCAACATCAGAGACCTTTAACTACCCCAGAAGTGCAGCTCAGCCTCAGGAGGGCCGGCCCTGGCAAGAGGCTCCCTGGCTCTGGAAGTGGTTCCAGCTGTTTGGGCAGGGCATTCAGGGTGTGATGTAGGAGGGAGGGGGTGGAGGCTCGGGGGTGGGGGGTATGTCCCAATGGCTTGTGGATTCTGAGCCCCCGGGGCCAGAGCGAGGCCTGCCTAGAGCATGGGGCCCAGGGCCTGTCCCAAGTGCCCAGATGTAAGGGCTGTCCTGACCCTATAATGTGCCCCTCCTCTTTCCTCTTCTGTAATACAGCAAGGTCTGTGAATAATTCAGCATTTTGTAAAAAAGCATTTTTTTCCTCCCATTGAACTGAATTTCATAAAAGAATTTCATTGGTGATATTAACATTCTGATTGTAGCCATAAAGTCATGAAAACCTTTTTACTCCAGTTGCTGAGGCTTACACATCCAAAGGGATGCCACCCCAGGGAAACCCATCACCCTCAACCTTTCCATGGGCCTCTCAAGTCACTTCTGAACTCCTCTGCCAGAAATGTCATCAGAGCCCATGGCTTAGTCTTCAGAAAAAATCTCTTTGGGAACAAATCACATGTAGAAACCATTGACTCATTGTCAGTTTATATTGGGAAGGGCTCGTAGAGATGGCCACACATGCTCCCTCCACCTGCAGCCTGAGGCACAGAGAGGTCCAGAGACTTGCCTAAGGTCACACAGCTTGTGTGTGTGTGTGTGTAATTACACTGGTCCCATTCCATCTCTGCTCCTTCATTCCTTATTGACTTCTGAGGGCATAATTGTTTTTTGAAAACTACCCCGAGTTATTTGGGGCCAGGTCTAGTGCCCAAGAAGGGTGGTGAGGCTGAGCCCTCGAGGGCTGGGTGCCCGGGTGAGTCTCTTGCCCTTGGTTCACTCACACGTGCCTGGGGACAGCCAAGTGCCTCCAATTGTGGACCCTGTAGGTGAGGAATTCTGCCTGGCCAACCGGGAATGCTGGTCTCCCAGCAATAGCGCTCCCTCCTTCTTTGCTTCAGCTCCCACTGGATGACTCAGGTCTTATCCCTGTTGACAGTTTTCCTTGGAAATGTGTCATGTCCAGCCATCACATTTGTTCATCACTCAAAACACACAGCAGAAGCTCCTAAATCCAAGGGTTCCTCAAGGAGGCAGCACTATCTCTGTCTCTAGCCTCACTCAGGGCCTTTAGCGGCTCCTCACTGTCCCTCATACCCTCCACCCTCCCGCTCTCAGCTCTCCACCCTCCTCCCTCCTCCCCGCGGAGCATGCGGGGTCCCTTATGAGGCGCACTCTCTCCCTTAGACCTCTTGGGTCCTTTGATCACATCAAGTTTGTTCGTACCTCGGGGCTTTTGCACCAGCTGTTTCCTCTGCCAGAAAGCTTCCCCAGCTCGTTGCATGATATTCTCCGCATTCAAATGTCAACACTTGTCACTTCTCAGGGGTGGCTTCCCTGACCCACCCTTTCTAAAAACCCCTCACCCCAGGCATTCTCTATCCACTGGTTTGATCTTCTTAACTGCACTTTTCACTGCCTGCAACTTTCCTACTTATGCGTCTGTTTGCCCATTGTCTGTTGTTCCAGCCCTCCCCCCTCCTCCCCTCCCTCCCACAACTAGAATTAAGCTCCATGGGGTCAAGATGTTTTCTGTCTTGATCGCTGAGGTATCACCAGAACCCATGGCGATACCTACAGAGATCCTTCCCAAGCCTCAATTTCTCCATCTGAAAAATGAGGAGGTGGGATCAGGTGATCTGGAAGTTTCCTCTTGGCAACATAGGTAGGAGCCTGGCACAGTGGTAAGGACAGAGGATTTGGAAGCAGGCAAGCCTGCCCTCCAGCTTTGGCTCTGTGGTTTGCTAAGTGTGATGTGGGGCAAGGTCTTACCTCCTCCAGGTCTCTGTGTCCTCCCTTGCTGGGTGGCCATGCGGATTCAGTGACATGACGCGTGCAAAGTGCCCAGCCTAGTGTCCAGGACATGCTGCTGCACCACAAATGTCACCCACTAACAGTAGAGGTGGCTGACTGGACCCGGCCACCCAGGATGCCCCGAGGAGCCCAGGTTGCGTTGACATCTGTGCTCAGGGGGGCCAACAGTTCTCTGGTGCATGCACGCCCTACCTTAACTTCCTTAACCAATCTCCAATTATTGGACATTTAGGCTGTTTTGAATTTGTCCCAATTACAGGACTACAAAAAGCATCCTTGTATCTAAATTTTCTGAACACATACTGGTACTTATTTTTTTCAGAATAAATTCCCAGAAGTATAATTGCTGAGGCAAAGAGTATAACAAACTTAAACACGATTCATCCATATCTGGGCCAAGATAGTCTCCCCAAATATGAGAAATTAAAATCCCCCTGGGTATGAAAGTACCCATTTCCCTGCATCCTTGACAATAATAGCTATTACAATGTTAAAAATCTTCAGTTTGTTAGGTTAAGAAAAAAAAGTGCATCCACTTTTAATTTTAATTTGCATCGCTCTGACTAATGAGTAGAGTGAGCTCCTTTCAAGTACGGATAGGCAATTTTTATTTCTTAGGTGCTTTTCTTTTTTCTACCATAAATGTTATGGTAATAGTCACACCTGTCAATGTTTTGTTTAAGTGCATTCTTATTATTTTTCCATCTTTTACTATTTGACTATATTTTCTTTGATTTTTAAAGATGATTTGGGTCTATTTCTGGTTATTAATTTAGCTATTGGCTATGTTAAAAGTATTACAAATTACTTGAATTTGTTTTCTCTAATTGCTTTAAGTATAAAAGTTCTGAGGCCCCCTTGACTTCTTCTCTCCTGGATTTTGCTCCTGTGAGCTTTCTCTGATTAATACAAAAGCATCGAGGGCTGCTGGTGTCTGTATTGGAGTCCTGTTTTTTCAACCTAATAATTATATTCAGATGATGTTTCCAGACCTCTTCCCTACCCAGAACATGCCACTGGGTCATCCTTCAAGGTTCCTATGATCTTTTAAAGTCAGGGGCCCAGACCTGAGGCAAACATTCTCAGTGTGGTCTCACCAAGGGATAAATGAGTATAATCTTTTAACTTCCTTAATGTCGTTTACTGGGGTCATTTTTTGTGGAGACAGTAGGGGGAACAAAATCATACCATTTATTCAGTTTGACCTTGGAGCGAACACAAGCCCCTATGTATACTTTTTACATGTGTACTTATAAATCCACATCTTTCTCTTAACACTGTTCTTCACCCAGGGGGTGGGGGGCAGGAGGTAGGGGGAGAACAATGGAAATATGGCTGTTGACCTCATTTCTGTGGGAAGAGTCCTTGGAATGGGACAGGTGTAGCTAAGCCCTGCAAGGTGACCTCATTCTCACTGTCTTAGCAAAGCACTGAGTTGAAGTCATTGCCACCACATTATATCCCAGGCCATTCATCACTTCCCAGGTGAAGCCAGCACCAATCTCCCTTGGGCAAAACAATGACAGCAGGAAGAAACACTCTCACAATTGTCTGAGAAAAAGTAGTAGTTGTTCTTCAAGCAGGCCTCTGATTATTCAGGGCAGAAGAATTTCTTCCATTGTAGAGCTGACACTGAAGGCTGATTAATTACTCATTCTCTGAGGTCAGGTTTATCATGAGATGCTAAAAGTTTCTGAGCAAATAACTTTATATAGATAGTCCCAATTACTGACAGGTTGTGCTCCAGCATATTTTTGAAAGGCAGTTGTTGGAACTTGGAACATATTTTTCCACAGAAACTATGTTATAAATAGTGGTTAGGCTCCCAGGCTAGCCCACACAAGCTTGCTAACCCACAATGTGACTAAACCTTATGGGTCTGTCATTCCAACAGAACCAAGCAGAGTCCTGCTTTCAGGGAGAGAGGAGCCTCATGGACAGAAGACAGCAGAAGGTGAAGAACCCATCCCCTTCCACATCTCCAGCTGCCATCCCCAGAGTGGCAAAACTGGCAGAGTTTCTGTCTAGCATCCCCTGTGGGATTTTGGAATCCCAGAGTCTCATTTGGGAGGTACACTAGGGGGAGTTATTTAGTCTCCTTGTTCCTGTACCCCAGTCTGCAGATAGCCTGGGGACCTTGTTAAATGCAGACGCCAGAGCCCTACATTTTGATTCAGTATGTCTATGGGATAATTTCAGAATCTGTATTTCTATCAACCTTCTAAGATCTCAAGAATATACAATCGGTTACCACTGATTAAGTCCCTCCTTCAATCCGATTATTGGATCTTCTCAATACTAACTTCTAGATGTTTGCTGAACTCCATCTTAGACTCCTCCAGGGCTGAGAAGCTCACCCTCTCTTCAGAAAGAGCTTCCACTTAAGGAGTGCTTGCCATCTAGGAGATTTGTGTTCTGGATGCAGCATCTGCAGCACCTCCCTATGACCTGTATTCTGCATGCAGTGTCTCCTTGTGGAGCTGCGGTAAACATGTCTGTTGCCTCTTATGCATAACAGCCCCTCAGAGCTGAAGGCAGTGGCAGGCTACCCTGTCC